ATAGGAATTAATGAAATAGCAGGTACTTGAATCACTATAATTAATTCATAAGGAATCAATCTAAGTTCTAGTTTCTGTAAAAACAATAAATCAAAAAGGGATCCTTGAATTCTTGTCTAATTTATCAAAGTATGATTAAAATTCTGTTGTCTGACTCATCCCCCTTTATAGTACAAAGACAATTCCAGTTGTGCATTATTATTCCTTGAAATATGATGATTGCTTTCCTAAAACATATTCACACAAAGCAATGTATAAGTGGGTTTGCAATGTGCCTAAAATAACAGGTATTATCATTACAGGTCTTCCTGCGTTTTACTTTTCTATCAGTAACATGGAAGGCAAAATTTGAAAATATTTATAAACTAGAAAGGCTCAGATATTTTGATTTAAATAGGGTGACCAACTCTCCTGGTTTGCCTGAGACTGGAAGGTACTCAGAACTTTTAGTTTTAGAGGCAGGACAATTTCAAACAATTTAATATTAAAATCAGTACAATCTCTGGCAAATGTGTTCAAGTTACTTACCCCAAAGCAGAACATAATCTTGGAGTAAAGACCATTTTGGGAAAAGAAATTTCAAAAATCTTGTTGCTGCCCTTTTAGGATTTTTCAACTTTGTCTTCTTTACCTCCCCACCCCTAAGTCAAGCAAGCTGATGTAAAGGACACTCTTCCATCTCTGGATACAGAGTAAGACAGTAGCAACACTTAGAAGCTGTGCAGAAAGTAATGAGGGGTAGGGGCTTGAGCTCTACATCACCTAGTCTGGATATAAAGCCAGGCTTTGCCATTCATTAGGCAAATGATTCTGTGTCTCCATTTTTCTCAGGTATTAATAGGATATTAATAACATTCAACTTACAAGGTTGTATGAATGATACCTATCACACATTAAGAAGTCAAGGATGTTAGTTATTTTTATTGTGATCTTGATTATGATTAGCAGCTTAGAACAAACTATTATGTCTTCCAGTAATAGTAGCTGTAAAATCTAGATTCTTAGGAGGACTTGTTACTTTTAGCAATCTTCTGCAAAAGGTAGCTTCCATCACCTAAAAGGCTCAGCTATATTTTTGCCCATTTATTTTTTTCCCATTCAAGATATGCATATGAAATGGCAGAAGAAGATTTCAAAACTTAAGATTCTTCCAGGAAATACAGTATCATTGGAACGGACAAGTGGATGATAAAATTAGCACAATTCTTTTGGGCTAATTATGTTTTTAGTAAGGATGATAAATTCTACAGATTTATTTTTGAATAGCCAGTATTTTAATAAAGCAACTTTATTGGAATAGCTCATTAAATGATTCTGAGAGTCCATTAAGGAAGGCGTGTCAATTTTTATTGTCAATTATGAGGGTTGAGAGCATATTGGAGTTCATCAGGCCACAGTTTGGTCTGGATACCAGTAGAACTTTGCTTCTCTTAAAGCTGTGAAAAAGGAAGACTGCTGAAATGCAGGTTGTGAGTTGACAATGGAATACTGTAGTATAAACTCAGTTTCTTCAAAATTGCATTGTTCTAACTGTTAGCATCTAACATCAAGGCTTCATCTCAGAGAGGCAGTGGGGCAGGGCTCAGATCAAGCCAGTGTCCTCTACTCTATTCCTGAAGGAATTTGAGGTAGACACTTCCTAATTAGTAGAAAGTAGACTTGAGCCTGATCTTTGATCTCGTAATTTAGCCAATTAAGTTTACTATATGACACATGGTAAAGATAATTCATCTATTAAAATGTAATTGCAGGACTTTGATTCTTCACATTAAGTTTATTTCCAGCATTTACTCAGTACAATGCAGAAGATGTTTAAGAAAATATTGAAAGCACTCAAAATGTTGAGATGGAAACATGGTCACTTAATCTAAACAACTGGTCAAAAATATCATTGAAAAACATACCTAAAATATTTATTTTTACTTTAAAAATGAAAGAGAGGCCAGGCACAGTGGCTCATGCCTGTAATCGCAACACTGAGGAAGGCCAAGGCAAGGGGATAACCTGAGGTCAGCAGTTTGAGACCAATCTGACTAACATTAAGAAACCTTATCTCTACTAAAAATACAAAATGAGCCAGGCATGGTGGCACATGCCTGTAATCCCAGCTACCGGAGTGGCTGAGGCAGGAGAATCACTTGAACTGAGAAGCAGAGGTTGTGGTGAGCCGAGATCATGCCAATGGACTCCAGACTGCCAACAAGAGTGAAACTCCGTCTCAAAAAAAAAAAAAAAAAAAAAAAAGAAAAGAAAAAAAAAAAAGAGAGAGAGAGAAAAGGCTAGAATCCTGGATTTGCAAATACAATTATAAAGCATTTAAGGGAAAATCAATTTTTTAAAAAAACACAAGCTGACACAACTAAATATATTCTAAACCTTGAACACCTTCTAAAGTCAACTGTAAAAGTCATGTCTTTTCAGCTGTTTACTTTCTTTGTGTTTGTTCTAACAGGTTCCTGTTAGAACAATATTAGATTCATCCTGGAACATATTTTATATTATGAAATTTACATTCAAAATGAAAATGTAATGTATATACATCCTATAGTTGCATGTAGATAAGCTAGCTAGAATAGTGAAAAATATTTATATAATTTGGTGTAAAAAGTCACTTTTTTTCCAAAATACCTAAATACTTTTGGTTGAAGTCTTATTTTTATTTTTGAGGAAAGTCTTTTAGTTTCTATTTTCCTTTGTACATGTAGACAGACTTTCTACAAATGAGGAAGAATCTTTTCTAGTTTGTGCTGCTCAGAAACATTAAGTAACCGCATTTAAACCCCAAATGAACTCTAAAACATCACTGAAAAACTTCCTTAAAATATTTGCTTTCACTTTTAAAATGAAAGAGATAAGCCTAGAATTCTGAACCCATCTTAGCAGTTGTCTAATTGTGTCCTCTATACATTATACCTGTATAGGTACAATGTATAGAGACATAAACTCATGGCCTCATGAACCCCAATAATAGATTTAGATGAAAAAGTCATTTTGCATTAAACATTTTCCCATGGAAATAAAGAATTCCCACAGGTTAAATAAGAATTTGGCCTTTTGCCTGGAAGAAGGAAATTGTCATAGAAGCTTTTTCAGAATACAGTGAGTTATACAAAGTCACAGTACTTCTGCTTGATTTACTTTTAATTAAAACAATAATAATTCAGAGCTATTATTATTTTCAATATTTGTAAGTTACTCATTTCTTCATTGCAAATGCAAATGTTTTGAGAATGATCCATTGTATATATCACATTTAGAAATAAATGCACTTCTGAAAGTCTGTGTTGGAAAGCAGAAAAAAGAAATGTCTAATGTCATCTGCACTAAGAATTATTAGATCATAATCTACATGAAAGAATGTTTAGGACTGTATATCTTTTGTCATTTAGTCCTCTAATTACAAACAACTACACTTTAAATGAGCAACCTTATTAACATGCCTTAATCTCCCTTCTTCCCTCCCTCCCTCCCTTCTTTCCTCCTATACATTGTATTCCTTTTCTGTCTCTAGCTTAAATTCAAAGGTTGTGTATTCAAAAGCAATAGTGTGCAAGTTTTTTGATACTATTCTTTGCTAAGTTCAGAATTGCATTGCAATTCAATTTTATTTCTATTCATTTTGTTTTAGTGTTATGGAATGGCCAAATAAAGCATTGAGAATTATAATATCGAGTGCTCAAGAATAGTAATCAAAAGCCTGCGAATAAAGACGCTATAAAATTGCATGAGTTGGTAACGTCTTAAGCAAATATTCGGAATTTAGGTACGTATTAGGCAGATATTTGGGAATTCTGAACATGTGTTCCCATGATGGGAGAGTAAAACTTGGATAGAAAAGAAGTTGCCTAATTGTGATCAGGGGAATATTGAGGGGGTGGGGGTGGGTAGAGGTGGAGGATGGTTGTGGTATAGTGTACAATTCACTGGAGCCCGTGTAGTCTCCCTCGCTCCTTCATGATTTTCCCTCTTCAAAGTTTGTGTCAGGATGTCTTCCTGGCCATTCAAGTGTAAAGATACATTCCTAGCAGCTTGGTTGTGAGGAAAGTAATATTTTTGAAGGTATGATTCAATTTCAAGATGAACTTTTTGGAGCTCCAGAATGATATTTAACCCCCCTCCCTTCCCCCGCCAAATTCAGCAAGAGGAAGAAGCAAGGCCCATCAGTGAACTATTCCCAGGCACCAGCTCAAGGCGGAGGGCTGATGAAGAAGCTGAGTGGCTTGCTAGGGCCCAAATCCGTTTTTGGCCTTTACCCTAAAAGAGTTCCGTGATTGGAGTTTGAAAGGGGCAGAAAGGAGAGTAACTATCTGGAGCAGGCAAAGAGTAGCGACGCCTGGGGGGTAAAAATCAGAACACCCCCTTCCCCACAACCCTTCCCCAAAGGCAGTGGGCTGAAAGGGGGAATCCCTCTCGGGCGCCGACTCGCTCGCATCTCTGAGAGCCAAGTTTCTTCGCAAGCGTTAGCCACCTGTGTGAGGCGCTCCCGGTGGGAAAGGTGGCGTGGAAGAAGCCACAGCTCGGCCATACGGCTCGCTCGGGAGCTTTCCTTGGTGAGGCCGGCCGTCAAAACACCTCCAGAACTCGGCGCTTTGAGGATACAGAGTCCGCTCTGCCGCTTATGCTGCCAGGATCAGAGCCCCACATTCTCCAGGCTGGTCTGCTCTGGAGCCAGCTGACGCCTCCCGAGTTTGCCCGGGGTCCTCGCCGTCCCCTCCCTCCCACCTCCCCACCCCCGAAGTGGCGCTCCCGCCTCGCTCCGCCTGCACAGCCGGGCGCGCCTGCCTCGGAGCCTTATCAGGCTCCCCACACGCCCCTCGAGCTTCCTCGGGCGCCCTGCGAGAGGGACTCTGTCCAGGCGCTGCCTCGGAGCCCCCCATTCACAACCCCTCCTCCCGCTCGCCCGCCACCGCGCCCCCCAGCTCTTCTCCCCTGCGCTGCGCGGCGCCCACCGCGTCTCAGGCTTAATCCCGGGTTGGTCCTGCTGGTTTGCTCATCCCCACTCTCAGCCTCGCAGCCAGCACACAGAAGTGGAATCCGCACTGAAACTCTGGGTGGCTGGAGCCGGCGGACTGGGCATGCTCAGAAGCCAGGGCTGGCTTTGGTCTCAAGTAGGAAGCTCTTGCACTCGGGAGGCAGCGGCGACTTTGGGGAAAGTTGATCTGAGACGGGAGGAAGCCCCAAGACGCGGAGCAGCGGCAGGAAGGAGCCCCCGGCAGCCCGGAGGAGCATGGGCACCCTGCGGGATTTACAGTACGCGCTCCAGGAGAAGATCGAGGAGCTGAGGCAGCGGGATGCTCTCATCGACGAGCTGGAGCTGGAGTTGGATCAGAAGGACGAACTGATCCAGAAGCTGCAGAATGAGCTGGACAAGTACCGCTCGGTGATACGACCAGCCACCCAGCAGGCGCAGAAGCAGAGCGCGAGCACCTTGCAGGGCGAGCCGCGCACCAAGCGGCAGGCGATCTCCGCCGAGCCCACCGCTTTCGACATCCAGGATCTCAGCCATGTGACCCTGCCCTTCTACCCCAAGAGCCCACAGTAAGCAGGGGTGACGCGCCGGGTCCCTGTGGTGCCCTGGCGGTGGGGAGCTGCGGGTCTCTGTATTGTCTGTCGGCCCCCGCCCCTCCAGCTTGCCTTGTCTGTCCTCATCCTCAGAAATGTTTCATTTTAACGGGCACTTCTTGCGGGGCTGTGCACGTTTCTTAGAGCCAGACTCACTGCACATACGGTGCCTTCGTGTCTTTGTCAGATGTCAAGATATTATTTTTATATGTACATATGCATTTGTATAAGCCACCTAGTGTACGTAGAGTTTGAATGCGTCCCAGGTGTGTGTCCGACCGTGTGTGTGAGTCTGAGAGAAGAAATAAAAAGCCCCCCTGTCTCCCAAAAGCCCTGGCAAACCAGACCAGCTGGAAAATCCTAAATGCAGGCTCGTCAGACTTGAAATGAAATGCGTTTGATATCACCCATACTTTCTATGCTTTTGTGGCTCTCACGGATTTCTCTACCTGCTGGCGCTTCACGCTGGTACCCTTCAAACCTGACGTTCTTGTCATCATCAAAGTGTAAAACAGAAGTAAATATGTATAGGAAAGGGAAGAATTTGTGATTTCCTGAATTGGATGACATTTACAATCTATAAATGGAAGCCTAGTGTGTTGATTTTTAAGAAATATTTTTTCATAATATATGAGGGAGAAGATTGCTTATTTTCCTTAAGGAATGTGCATAATGTTACCAATGGGGCATCTCCATCTCCCAAGAGGTGGTTGCTTGTTTTCCAGGGTCAGAGACAGATAAGCACACTTATCTTATTTACAACGTGGACTCATTGTTTGCCTTACTCTTGGCTTCTAATGCAGCCACTCTGGCATTGTTCTACCCTTTTAGAGAACTGTGCAATTCTGATGCCAGTGGGCTTCATAACTTCGATGGGAAAAATTCAATGAAACTTGTTATACAACACTCAACTCAGAGTTCACATGGAGAGTAAAGCTGCAGGAACATGAGGTTAACAGAGAATGTAGGAGAGCACCCAGAGGAATGGCATTTTAAATTAACAGATAATTACATAATTGATAAAACCAAGGATGTTGCTGATTACTTTACTACTAATGGCATCACATTGGGTGGATGGCACGTGTTACATAATAATGCAAGGTCCCTCGAAACCCTTCACTTCATAAACACGGAGTTAATATAAGGAGAAAGTGAATATTCAGTTATCCCTATTTTTATTTATTGGATCTTTTTGGGGGGAATCACAGTATGTACCAATTATTACTTTTGAAAACTTAGAGTTATACCTATACATGTTGATTCCCATGCAACATTTGCTGTTCATGCAGGCTTAGTTTTGGGAGGAGTTTGTATTCTGTGAGCGAGTGGAAAAGAGACAATAAGGATAAACATTTCTGAGATTCTGACCTTATCAAATTGCCCTAATAGTTCAGCAGACTTAGATCTGCCTTAGAAACCTGAGTGATCTGAATCTACTTCAACTTTCTCTGGTAAATTAATTTGCAGTCCTGACGTGCCTGCCTGTTTTAGCTAACGAGGTACATGACCATCTCTCCTGGGCCAAGTTTTGAATAATGAAAAAATAACTCAAAGACAGCTCTCTGCATCTTTGAACATTCCATAGGATCTCATTTTTGTATCTGCAGGACTTTGGAGGGACACAGAGCAAACTCTGCTTTTATAAAAAGACCATTTTAATAGGTTTTATAGTGAAGCATGATCAAGCCAGCTGATAACTCCAGTTAAACATTCTGTCAGAGATCTGCAAGATTCTAGGCAGTAGGGAATGAACTGTATAGTCTGGTAAGTTTAAAAGCCTCTTTGTACTTGACGTAGAATAACTAGATTGAAAAACAAAAAAGGTCCACAGTGGAAAATAAAACTAGTATGGCAAATAATTTACAGCATCCCATTATAATACACATTTTATCTATCAAACAATGCTGTATGTTCTGATACTGATTTATTCATAATAACCTATATTTTAAAGGACTCAGCACTTAAGGTGTTGCCATGATGCTTTTGGTGACTCTGAAGCATTTTATTGAAGAAAATGATAGAATGCCTTCCAAGCTTAAACAATTTTGGAAAAACATCTGTTCTTTTTTCACACTTACATAAAAAAAAAAATCTTTAAAAAAATTGGCTTGAGTAGTAGAAAGTATACCTTTCTTAGGGAAAAAAAGAATTACTTAGTATGCAAAATGAATACATCTTATGTTATTTGAATGGTTGTACAAGGTATAGCTCCACAAAGGATTAAGAAAACCTGCCAAACCAAAGAAGACTTGTTTATATTTCAAGGTATTTCACTATGAATAATTTCATTACACAGACTTACTGGCAACAAGTGTTTGTGTCTTTATATTTCATCTTTACTACATCTTAAATGTAGCCATCTTTCTTATACATGTAGATTATTATGAGTTCAAGTTAAAATGAAACTATCTAAATAGACACATTAATTTCCGGTTCATGTTCATGCTAGTTTTTGATTCTCTTTTCTTTAGATGTAGGTAACTGCCCCATTAATGTTCTGTTCATTTACTTGATATATGCAAATATTTCTGTTTAGTTTTTGTCTGCTGAGTTTGCCTTCTGAGGATTATAATTTTTTGAAACTATGTTTTCTGGGTAATTTTGATCATTTAAAAAGAGTACAAAATATAAAATAACTTAATAACTTGAATCATCTTAACATTTTGGGTTTAGAATTTTCCATTAATGTGGGAATTGGAGGGAAGACTCTGTCAGACTTCAGCACAGAGCCAGGGAACTCCTGCTATAACTATGAGGTAGGAGGAGTGCTTTTGTTGGTGTCTTTTACAATCTGTATAAATACAGTACTTATGTGAAGCAAAGAACTGATGTAGCAAATTGGAATCTATATTCCACTGCTTCTAAAATAACTCCTTGAGAATATAAAACTATGAAACTATAAACTATATTTTGAAATAATGAGCAAATAAACCCTTAACAAAACCCAAGCATTCACTATGTGAGAGCAGACAGCCTGTTGATTGTATATATAGGATGGTTCTTATGGACTTAAGTAATTTTATTTCATGATGTTTCATTCCTGAAATTGATTCTACATCATGTTAGAACATTCAGTCTCTGAAATGTTAATCTAAACCCCTTATCTTTTGAAAATATTCCCAAATCTTTTCTGTTTTCATGTCACAGGGTTTTATTCATTTCAAGTTGGACTATATAGACTTGAGTTCCTAAGACCTGTTAGTGTCTTTGTATTTTTGTAAGTTGCTGCTTTCACTCCAGAAGCAGTTGAATTTCAGAGAATTTCTCCTTCCTTCCTTCTTTCCTTCCTCCTTCCCTCCCTCCCCCTTCCTTCCCACCTTCTCCCTTTCCCCTCTCTCCCTCCCCTCCCTCCCTCCCTCCCTTCCTTCCTTCCTTCCTTTTTTCTCTCTTTCATCTTGCTTTGTCATCCAGGCTGGAGTGTAGTGGCATGATCTTGGCTAACTGCAACATCCACCTCCTGGGTTCAAGCAATTCTCCAACACCAGCCTCCCAAGTGGCTGTGATTTCAGATGCATATCACCATGCCCAGCTAAGTTTTGTATTTTTTTTTAGTAGAAATTGGGTTTTGCCAGTTAGCCAGTCTGGTCTTGAACTCCTGACCTCAGGTGATCTGCCCACCTGGGCCTCCTAAAGTGCTGAGATCACAGGCATGAGCCACAGCGACCGGCCCCTGTTTTACTTTTTCATTGTGAAGTACTTTGGAGGAGTTGAAGATAAAAGTATTTTTATTTTTAAGGAAGCATTAATTTTAAAAGAGATTATTTGATCTTTTAAAATTTATAGTATATCTGAAGAAAAAAATGTTTCTAAAGACTGTATATTAAATTCTTTCAGAAGTTGAGAGAATTCTAGAATTCTAGTGTAATCATAGATGGTATAATATAAAAACATAGATGTCTTCAAAGGTAGAAATTTAACTCTAAAAGTGCCCTATAGCTCAGTTCAATATTTCTAAGGGATGTCTGTGACATACGAAATATTGTAAGGCATTAGAGATGAAAGATACATAGTTCCTATCATCCAGGAGTGAACACGAGGTTAACAATACTATACAAGTAAATATTCTAGAAAGTAGATAGAGTAAGGTAAGTCACAGGGGAGATAAGTAAGACAGTTGGCAAAATATAATGAAGCCTGTTTAGTTTTATGGTATCAGAAACTCATGTGGAAGTAGAGGTGTTTAAAGTAAGTATTTGAAGGATGGCCATGATTTAGGTGAGTGGAAATGAGAGGAAAGAGGGAGGGGTAGAGGTAGGGACTGGGGAGATACATTCCAAGCCATTAGCAAAGAGACCAGACAGAAAAAGAAAGCAGGGCCCCTCTGGGGATTGGCAGCAACTAGTGGCTGTGCTAAAGTACAGTGGGAACTGTGAAAAAGCAAGTTTAGGTCAGAGAAAATGAGAATCTCATTTTCTATGATTTTATAAAGTAGGTGAGAAGGTATTCTGCTGGGTTTTAGACTAGCCAAGGCTGCTGTGTGTTTGTGTGTGTGTGTGTGTGTGTGTGTGTGTGTGTGTGTGTTACACGAAGGACTAATAATTACCCACTAATACAGTTCTGAATGCCAGTGTCAGTTCACCCCTCTATCACAGTTCACCCCCACTATCACAGTCCTGTTAATAGTCATAACTATACTAACTAGGTAAGAGTAGTTAATTTAAGCAGACAACAAACGATTAGAAGTCTTAAAGACACCAGGTTCCCAGTTTCTTTTTCCACTCACTTCCAAATGTTCCCATTGAAAATAATCTAATTTCATGCCACAGACTAGCACTGCAGATTCCTCACATACCTAGGCAAGCTGAACATAGATGAAAATTGAACCTGAAGTTGCTTTTTGAAATTCATTCCCCTTGTTTTTGTGGAGGAGTTAAATTCCAACCTAATGTTATTCTAATCGAGTTTTCAATTTAAGGTTGATTGTTAATTTGACATTACAGTTAACGCAGTAGAATGGAAGTCCTGGAACCCTTTAT